CAGCGCTAAATGTCGGGGTTCAATTCCCTGAGGTTCACAGAGCGCAGAAAGCCCATTGTGTAGCTTTGCGCTTACAAACAACAACAACCTTACTAGTTAGATACACACTGACGTAATTCCGATAACCTAAATGAGCTTTGTTTTGCTTTTCTCAGAAGTAGTTTATTTACACTGATAAAATATCGAGGCAAGATTATGACACAAATTTAACTTCTGTTGGACTAGAATCGATTATCAGCTCAATGTATCATTATTTTGAAAATTTAAAAAAATTATAACCTGGTTAATCTAAGAAGTTCTATGAAAAAACAAAGCGAAAAAAAGAACATAACCTCATGACCGATAGGCTTGGTCATGAGGTAGAAGAGGGGCTGGTTATTTATTTTCTAGAGGTAACATACATATGGGCTGACTGATAAAATAAATATTTCTGTAAATTTAAAGAAATATTCAGATATTTATATTTGTTGCAAGGCCTTCGAAACAGCAACAATGATTAAACATTCATGTATTGTTAGTGTATTTGAGATAACAGCCTTTTTTGCTATTATATGTTATTTCTAAATTTCTTTGATTTGTGCCCCCTAGAGTCACAGCGGTAAGTCCGAAGGCTTATAATGCTAAAAAGCGGGTTTCGATGCCCGTTGTATGCACAGTCCAGATAGCCCATCATGTTACCTTGCGCTTCACAACAAGCATTAATTCATGCAAATAATGTAAAATACCAACAAGCCACTATTCATTAAATATCAATAGTCGTTATTTTCTTCTTAACAATATTTCGAACAGTTTAGCTTTGTTTATCTTACTCCAAATTCGAAGAAGCCTTTTAAATGATAGTCGAAATCTGTATTTTACGAATCAAGTAATTCATTTTGAAACTATTTGAAAACAAACACATGAAGTTGATTTACAGAATTTTTCGGGATACTGCTGTATTTTAATGACTATTAGAAGTGGGATACTATCTATTGTATTTCTTGAATTTAGTTATTATATTAATATAGCTACTAGATGTCGAATATAATTTTAAAGTAGTTTAAGAAGTCCATAAGAGGATACTATAATGAAATGAATGTGGATGATACTGTATCAGAGTAATTGAAAGAGGATTTAAAACCGCGACCCCCTTTTCACTAATCATGGAGACCTAAAATAAGCTGTATGCAGAGTATATTTTTTGTTTTGAAAATCTGAAATAACTATTAGTTTTATTCTCATTCTATAAATTGCTTATGCGCTAAGATGCATAACATTTGTTTTCCAGTAAAAACAGTCTCGACTCAAGTCGTCAACGGGTGTTCTTGTTTTGCTAAGAGATAAACACGTGATTTATTTATTATCATTATTGCTCCGCTAATAACTATAAAAAGGAATTATAGGTATTAACTTGAAGTTCCTGATCCGTACTGTACTCAGTAATAACCAGAGCCTAGTTGGTATATAGTTCCAACTGCCATTAATCATATCCCTACGGTAGAAAAAAAAACAAAAAAACCTCAGCGCACTAATTTAGGAATGAGAACACGTGCTATAATATAATCAGTTTAACAACGTCTCGTTAGGTTCGTGTTTACTTTACTTTTTATATGAGTCAAAATGTGTTGATAAAGTGTCTGTGCTGTATGAATCCCCATCATTGATGACATTTATAGAGAACTAATCCAGAATAAACTTTAAAATAAACGTTTTGCTACTACTGAATGAGTATATATATATATGTATATATATTTCAGATTGACACAATGTATCATACTTATAAATATGATTTTTTAGAACATCTGTTTAGCCATATATACAGATGGGTGCTTGTGCAATTCAAACATAGAGCAGAAAATGAAAAAGCTTTTATTAAAACATTTAAATAGATATTTTTATTTTTGATTTAAACCTAACAGTGTTATAAAAGCAAAACATCCTTACATAAGAAATATATTTATACGTTGCTCTCGCTAATTTTTATGTTGTACTGTATATCTGATGAACTGTTCTGAAAATACCAGAGCTGCATTCAGAACTTGCATTGTTTTTCAAGCTTTGTCAACAAAATATTATACATAATGTTTTGTCGACATTTCATTTCATTAGCTTAACGTAATGAACCTCATATGTAAAATGACTCTTCCTTCATATTATGTTTTGTTGTAGTTAAAACAAAAAGTTGAGAGTAAATTCTATATCGATATCTTAAGAAAGCGAGAACATTCTACTCTATAACTGAAAGAAGAGTAATTAATCGCGAGCCGTATGTGCTCGTATTCAATTTATAAGTTTTCTTACTCTATATATTTGATTTAAAGTTTTATGTGAATGGCAATCGGTGGTGTATTCTATCCACTTGTACCTACCACTAGAAAAAGCGCGCAAGAATAAATTCAACATAAAGAATCGTTACTACAAATACAATTAGGCATATAAAGCTGATGTCAAGGTGAACACAAAACTTCGTGTTGCCTAATTTTACCGGAATTATTGGAAAACATATGGCGATGGAATACTTATATATACATACATATACATTAACGTTCAAAAAAGAAATCACATTTATATTCTACTATTAAATCATACTACGTACAGTGTTTTACGAACCCTTGTACTTATAAAAATATTGAGTCATTATCATGATAAAGCACGTACAGGAGGTAAGTGGAAAAAACATTTGCACGGTGTATATATATATGAGTTGGAATACTTTAAACCCTACATGTAAAAATGCTCTTTCGTTCAATAAAAACCCATATATACATATTCACACTTTCGCAAAGCATGGGTTTGACAAGCTATACATAACAAAATTATGATATATTTTCTAATTTATTTAAATATACACCGCTTAGAAATGTAGTGCATAAAGGCAAAGTACTACATGTAGAATTTCCAGTTTGCTTGTAGTTTAGTTGCATTGAGCTATCTGTGCTCTGCCCACCACGAGTATCAAAACTCGGTTTCTAGCGTTATAAGTCCGCAGACATGCCGCTGAGCCACAAGGAGGCAATATAAAATTGACAGACCGCAGTGAAAATGAAAATACGTTTGCCCCCCCCCCAAGTGGCACAGCGGATGTCCACGGACTTACAATGCTAGAAACCGGATTTCGATACCCGTAGTGGGCAGAGTACAGATAGCCCATTGTGTAGCTTTGTGCTTAATTACAACCAATGTTCAACGTTTAGGAATCATATAAAGCGTGAGTGCAACACATACACCTCGAAACGCTAGAAATGCTTAAAAGTCGTTTAAAACTGCTTCATAATTTATCAAACCTCACTTTCAATCTTCACACAGATAATATCTTATCTCAGGTTGACCTTAATTTGTGTTTAACCCCAGTACTCGCTAAGAACTAGGATTAAGATAATTTCAGGTGATCTATTTTTATGGAATATTAAACACTAGAAAAACACAAATATCATATACCATGTATTTGAAAATAGTCTAAATAAGAACATGGGCGCCCACAGAAATGGTCAAAAGGGGATATATTTGCCCTCCTTACATTTCAAAAAAATTAATACACGGATTATGTTGTAAACTTAACATTGTAGTTAAACTAAACTGTAAATTTGTAAAACACTATTCTTTTAATCTGTTGACTTAAGCTGTAAAAACTGATCTCCTACACAGATGTTTTGCCCCCCCCCCGAAAATATTTCTGTGGGCGCCCATGAATAAAAATATCTTGCAACAGTACATTACTTCATAAAATATATGACAAAATTCATTGAAAGACAAAATTGGGCTCATCTGTTAAAAGCGTATATTTCAGTACAAGATACTAAAATATAATTTCAAATGGCTAGAATCTACAAACGAGTGTATAGCCTATTAGGAGAAAATAAAAGAATACTAAAAATACTGGACTAGGCGTGGCTAAGTTATTAGCGTATGGGACTGTGAATTTGAGGGTGTAGTCAGTTCCACAAAATCGGAGTCGAGTCGTTATTACGTTATAAGAGCGAAGACCATAAGCTATTATGCGATTAGAGTATCTCAAGAGCTGGCGGTGGATACTATTGACTAGCTGTCTACTTTATAGCCTATCAGTTCAAAGTTAGAAATTGCTAGCGCTGATAACCGTTGTATAGCTTTGGGAGATTATCTGAAATAAATAAACCAGCTAGGTAACTAGTACTATTTAAACATTCCATCAGAAGTTAAAGGAATAGGCATCACAAAACTCGGAAAGCATCTGTAAGCTTTAACTGGTTTATTCAAATTTTGTGCCTATAAAATGAGTAATTGTTCTGTAAAATTGAAATGCGTTTTTAATTTTAAAATAAAATTTTAACATTGACAGAAATGTATATTCTAATAAAAGTACAACTAAGAAATATGAAAGATTGTAAGTTTCTTAAGTTTGCATTTTGACATCTAGATCTTCTATCGTCATGAGATTAAAAAGAATATTAACTATTGATCTTATTGATAAAGTATACAACTTTCTTTATGTTAATATGTTTTAACGTGACTGATGGTTTTTGTTTTAGTCTTCCACAAAAGTATAACTTCGTAATAATAAATAATTTATTAACTGAGTACAAAAAAGCAAGCAATAATCTGGCCAAGTGAAGAAATATATAATCATATACACAACAGACTTCAAAAATGTAGGAGATAAAGGTTAGATAAACCTTTTCTATTTAAATCGGAAATAGATTACTTTTAGTGAAAGGGTAGGGCTAGGAAAAATAAGAACCGTTCATAAACCTAATTATATGTTAAAAGGAAAAGGTTAACTACATCTAAAAGCCTCTATATAAGAGTTATTAACGCCAACGCTTCCGTCTCTGCACATTACGCCCTCTTTAGGGTTTATGACACATAATAAGTTTCAATTGCTTAAAATTTGCTCTTGAAGTGCAGCAACAAGAGACAAATGACGAGTGGCATTATAACGATAGTATAACAACAATTTAAGGGCTACCCAGATGAAAATACGCTGGGTTAATGAACAACGAATTGTATAAATATTGTAATTTGAAAGTATTACCGTAGGCTTAACTACTATTTTATTTGCAAAAATAACCACTGTGTGGCGCAGTGAAACACCCTTTGTGTTCCACAGTGTTTCTTTTATGGGTGAATAGGGCTAAGATAAGTTAGTTCTGCTGTTATACGACAGGGTAGAAAATTTAGGTTTGATAACTTGCGGGTGTATTACGGCAGAAAGTATTGTGAAAACAAGTAATACTATTAGTATTAGTAAGTTACAAAGTAGTAGACCTCTATCTCAGCTGTGATCAATTCAATGCCAACTTTGCGAGAGAAAGTTGTTGAATTGTTAAGGCAAGTTTCATCTGGGTCTGGAAGAGGATGCGACGTAAATACCAGTTGTACATCTCCTACTTCGGGAACTTTCATTCAGAAATATTTAAGCGGGTAAGGACGCCAAGAATGTTAAACTTCGTACTTAAAAAGTTAAACTAGGTAACGTAAGGTTAATAAGTAACGTTGTACAAACTGTATGGACCTACTGTTAGTATTAAACTTTAAGTTAAAGTTAAACTAAAGTATTTTGTCCAAAACGGCAAAAGCCATTGATTATTGTGAACCTGCAATATTCATTTCAAAATATCGATAAGTAACATAAAAATTAAGAGTATAGTTGGATATAATAATTTAATATAACTTATTATGGCACTCGTTAAGCTCAGGCTAATTATGTAAGTACATTTCAGTTTTATTAATTGAACTGTTTCAGCTCTCATCAATAACATTAACAAGCCAAACTGTAAATTCCGGTCTTAATTAAGGAGAAAATTGCTTGAAGTTTGCTATTAGACAGTTTTGCAGGGTCCATGTTAAACTTAAACTTTTTGAAGTGTATGCTGTGATCATTTCTGATACAGTTCTGGTGCCAGCAGATTCTATGTACAGTATAATAATAATAGTTTATGTACTTACAAAACCATTAATTAATTGTTAGGGATTTCCTTTTTTCATCTCTTATTAATACTATACTGACATTTTATGGGTTCTAAATAATTTATTTCTGTGAAAACAGATACAAGTTTCACACAGTATTCTAAACTTCTCAGTTAATGTTTTTATCACTATAGTATATAGTAGTTTACTTACTCCATAAGTGTGTGTCATACAGTAGATTCTTCCTTAGAGTAAACAAAATATCTGAAAGGGAAATTTCAAGCATTTTATTGGACCAGGAGGTAAGTTTATTGAGGTCCTAATATTAGATTTTCATCAACCCAAATAGGTTATATTGTGTTACTCAGTGGAACTTCATATCATGAACAACAGTGGTATTGTCAGTTGAAGGTTGTTTTCAAAACTGTTTCACTCCACCTTTTATTCACTTTTTTCTGCAAACATTTTAATTTTAGATTTTTATTACTGGGAGTTTACAGTTTTTTGAAAAAAAGTTACCTTGTTCTTGTTTGTTTTACAATACAGCCAATAACAATTTCATGTTTTGGCTTAAATTGGAACTTGTATGATAGATACCACTATTTAAATATTAGTCTTATGGTCCTTGTAGGAAACTTAATTTGTTCATATCACTTTATTAAAATTTTGTTTTGAGGCATTTTTTTAACAGAATGGTTGTTGACAAATAATTCAAAACCATAGTTTTGGCACTTACCCTCGGGGCATGAAGGCTAAATTTCATGACTGCCAAGACAAGTAATATAGCATGTTGTCATGAAAAGTTGCATCTGGAATTATATTAAAACAGGTTTAGGGTAATTTATTGCCAAAACAATTATGAAATATGTGAAAATGTCAGTTTATTCACTATTTAATGTTGCATCTTTTACCATCTAACTAACTTTATTGATTTATAAAATATAGTCAAGAACCTTAAGAATTCATAAAAATAAGTAACTCTTCTTTTTGCAAGAAATTTAAAATTCAAGTAGTAAAAACAACACATTTGTACAGTATGATAATTCTTCCAAGTTATTATCAGGAGAAGGCAAAACTTGAAGGTGATGAAAGATCATCTATTATAGTGAGGACACTCCATTCCTCAAGGAACAAAAATCAGCACCATGTTATTCATATATCTATTGACCAAAAATTGATAAGATATCACTTTTATATTCTCATCCATTATCAGATACTTAAAACAATAGTTCTGCAACCTAAATAATTATAATTTATTTTCAAAATATGATTATTTACATGTTTTTTATTCATTCAGAGTGTGCATTAGTGTCAGTGAAAGCTGTTAAAAATGAATGTCCTGAACACTTTTTGTCTAGTATTCTATTAAAATTATTACCAGTTCTGTATTGGCCTTTTAAGAAACACAGTTGCATTATCTAGAGAGAATAACATGTTATTATAGACACTTGATCCAGTTACACTTACAGACACATCCTTCATTATTCTAACACTGGTCAAAACACTGAGGGGCACTACAAAATTCATTTTTAATATAGTTATATGCAAGAGATTTAAGTGCTAGAAATCTTGTTGTGAAATTCAGCTTTTCCACTAAAATTAACTCTACTCAATTAAACAGTTTTAACCCCATGTATACTCTACATTCAGAAAATATAGATCAAAAACTTTTTGAGAAACAAATGTGTGGCATTCATTGTTTCATTGAAGTAGATCTACTTTCACCAGATTTTTTACACACACACATACACAGATATATATATATATATATATATATATATATATATACATGAAAACTTATGTTTGAACTAATGGTTATAACCATCTGTACTATTTCACATTAGCTCTCTAAATGTGCTGCTTTATTTCTAAAGTAGCCATCAAATCTTGAAATAAACCAAACTTCATATATCAGCACAAATCACTTCAATAATTGTGTGCTTGAATTTGACATCATGCTAATATATTTGTTTATTTTTATGTTTAATGATGTTTTGCATATTTTTAATTAATAAATATATTTTGTTTTATGCTTCCAAGTTAGATGTTATTTATATGTAGTAATAAACTTCCATCTGTGGTTGTTGTTAGATTGATACTTGTTTTCAGTACTTTTATGTACTTGTAAGATATAGTATAGTGTATAAGAACTTGTGTTTGGTTTATTAATGAATTAAGTACTTTCATATGCATATATATGTTGCATAGGTTTTAATTAATAAACCTGACTAAATTCATTTCACCTTTTACCAATTAGAAGGCCTTTACTATAAGATTCTATTAGATCCAAAATGAGGCTAAAAATCTGTCTGTCACATTGACAAGCCATACCTCCATGGTGAGAAACTGAGGCACCAGTCACATTGATTGTAGCCAGGTGTATGACCATTTGTATATTTCTCTTTGTTGTTTATGGCTCATTATTGTACATCTATACATAAAATAGTGTAAATAAAGGCTAAGAGCATTTCTACTTAAAATTTCACCTTGAAATAAAATACACACCAAGTTACAGTATCAATATTATGTAATTCAAGAGCACAACTAACTAACATTTGTCTAGTGTGCCACATCTACAGATTTTGTTTTGGAAACTTTGAGGGTGTAAACATTGTAACAATAATTTGTTTAATGTGAAAGTAACTATCACAATAGTGCTGACACAACCCTATTCCATCAACCAAATATAATTGTTCAATGTTAGTAATACTTTTCCATATTAAAAATTATGTTTCAAGGGTGTCTCTCAAAAATTATTGCTGTGTCCCCCTTAACCCTTTCATTGTGCAATTAATTTTTAGGCCGATTCCCAAAAAATTTCAATTATCCACCAAAAAATAAAATTATGAATTTGACCCTTTGTATTAATTTTTCAATATTGAAAGAAGTGTGTTTTCTATATCTGACAGTAATATTCCTTGAAAACCTTATTGGATAGTGAAAAATAATGATTTAAACAGAAAACTGGGGGAAATTAAAAAGAAAAGTGTTCTCCAGTAAATGGCATAAATACAGGCAAAACTAAGTCAACAAGAGGTTAAAATCATTACAAAATATAAAACAAATTATAGCTCTATATAAAGATTCTATTTGTGTTCCTGCAAAGTTGGCAATTTTGTAATGAGGCATATAAACATCCAGGTTTCACTGTGTAGAACACATATGGCAGCACACAGGTTTGGCAGTTGTTTCAAGTACAGAATTTCAGGATTATCATGTGCAGTAACATTGTTTCTTACTTTGCTCAAAATATTTATTCACAAAATGTACACGTAGCCTCAAAAAGGCTGATACTAAAAAATTTTATACTAGTATTACTTGGTTCCATGAAAAAAAAAGGTATGTTTCATTAAGCACAAAGCTAATTATAAGTTGTACATCAATGACATAGATGAAGAAATAGTCAATAAATTACTTAAATTTGCAGATGATATTAAGGTCTTGGATGTTGC